TATTAGTTCACAATATTCTCTTCTGTAATACAAGAAATATGTTGATTCTTAATATCACGATAATATTATGTTTATCTCGTACACTATGTAAGAAAGTGAAAGGGCTTTTTAACATTATAGTGTGCGAAAATTTTAGTCATTTCTGATTATTTTTTAAACTATATTTCATGTTCTAAGAGAATGTTTACCTTCGTTTAAAAAGTATATGTGTTTATTTGAACAATAATAATATATGAATTTGTACAATGTCAGTGCAAAAAATACATACTTTTTAATTTTTCATCTTTTACTGGTGGGCAGATGAGAAAGAAAGTAAATTGAATTTTTTAGAAGTGTGAATTGTAGGAAAGATGTTTTACCTGCCCCTCCTCCAAGAAAATGATTTATTTGTTTTTAAAGAAAACGCTGTCACATAACCAACTTTTGGAAAATATTTTTCAAGAAAATAAAAAAGAAAAACAAACATCCTAAAAGTAGGAACTTAAGTGAAAAAAATAACATTTTTCATAAAAAATAAAGTCAATCAAACACACCCTGATTATTTCTTATGGGGTCAAATCCTCTGATATATAGGGGTCGACCCATATATAAAGGGGGTCAACCCCCCATTTATATGACCCATTTGAGAAGTGGTCAAACCCCTCTCCCAAACAAATTGTGCATTTTCTAATGGTAACATGCATAACTCCTTTGTGTAGAGTTCGTAATTGAGATTTGAAAAAGGATTTGGATTCTTGACTCAATAAGCTTTTCAATGATACATATAATTCTCATGCTAGTTCTTAGATATTGACTCCACATCCCTAGCTTCACTCCAAAACCCCGTGTTTGGCAGACTCCATTTGATTGATATTCGACTCTAAGAGCTTGTTTGGTAAGAATTTTTGGGAGAAAAATTGATTTTTGAATAATGATATGATGGGAAATGTGTGATTGAAAAAGAAGAAAAATTATTGATATGATGAAAAATATTATTTTATTGAAGAATGTGTGGTTGAAAATGAGAATTTCTCAAATAAAAAACAAACACCCCCATAATATGTCCTGGTTTGATGTTAAAAATAATTCTAATCGTTGTGCCTTGAAATTCGGCTTTCATTTCCACGTTACAATTAAACGACCAAAGCGGAATTCGTTTTCCTCGAATGTGACATTTTCCATGGAATTCTTGCAATCAAAGAGAACCTAAATTATTAAGTTGTCGGGTACTTATCTTCGAGTTAATGAGCTATTGATTCTTGAGTTATTGCGTCTAGTGAAAACGATTATCTTATCGAGTCAAAGAGTTAACTTCTTATCGAATTCTCGAACTCTCGTATCGAGTCCCGAGCCAAATAATTAAAAACCTTAATAACTAATTAAAGAGTCAAGTTTTATTGACTTACTACTTAAACGTTTGTCTAACTCCTCAATGAGTTGTTAAAGTTACTTTTCCAATTAATTTCAGTAAAAAACAAAAAAGTGGGCAGAAAAATGCAATAATATCATTTCAATTCAAAAGGAAAGATATGACGGAAAGACATGAAATTTATTTGGTTTACAATTGAGATAATATCACAATGGGATTCGGACAAAGAGCTTGAGAATCTTGACTATAAACAGATATAATCAAATTATATATATGAATTATAATCTGATAATATTGATGGAAATTGGATTTGAGTGATCTTCTCCACTTTAATGCATTCCCATTTTCTAGCCATTGCTTTGAGATAAGATGGAGAAATATGTCCTCTCATATATTCATTAATGAAAAATATTTTCCCGTTCATTTCACC